GCAGAGATGGAACTGGGGATGGTCCCCATACATCAGTATGAACCAATTCTAACCTTTCTGCCTTGGGTGTCTTGCCAATCTTTGCAAAACTGACTTTCTTTTGTTTGCCAAAGATGCAATCCTCGCATAGTCCGACATCTACATTTTTTAGATCCGGCAGCTTCCCTTTTGACAAAAGTGTCTTCATCCCTTTCTCGCTCATATGGCCAAGCCTTTGGTGCCATAGGTTTGATTTTCCATCAGCATCTGCTACTGCAATGATATTCTCTAAATTTGAGGTTACATAGAGAGTACCAGTCTTCTTACCACGAGCAATGACGAGTGCTCCTTTGGTAATCTTCCATTCACAGCCTGAAAAGGTTGTGCTATATCCTTCTCCATCAAGCTGTCCAACAGAAATCAGATTTCTTTTGAGGCCAGGAATATGTCTCACTCCTGTCAGCTTCCAGGTGGTCTGGTTTGGCAACTTTAGTCGGATGTCTCCTTTTCCGACGATCTTTAAGGTTTCATCATCAGCAAGATGAACCTTCCCAAAATCACCACTGACATAGTTCTCCATGATTTCTCGACATGGGGTGGAGTGGAAAGATGCCCCTGAATCCAAGATCCATGATTCAATCGGACTGTTGACGCTTAAAATCATGGCATCACCTGTCTCCTCCGTCATGTTGGCAGATTCCTGTGCGCCGGTATTTTTCTTCGGTGCTCGGCAATCTCTTTTGAAGTGACCCTTTTTGCCGCAATTATAACAGGTAAAATCTTTATTTCCTGTTCTTGATTTGCCCCTTCTAGATTTTGATCTGCCACGATTTGAATTTCTTTCTGAAGTTCTCCCTCTAGACTCCGTGTGTAAGGCTGAGGAGGTTGATGCTTCACCCGATTCTCTTCGTCGAATTTCTTCACTCAATACCAGATCTCGAACATCGTCGAATTTTAATTTGCTGTTTCCCGACGAACTGCTGACTGCTGTAACAGTAGCATTCCAACTGTCTGGTAGAGATGATAAGAGAATTAAAGCTCGAACTTCATCATCGAACTCAATTTCCACTGAACTCAACTGGGTTGTGATTGTGTTGAGTTCATTTAGGTGTGCCACCGATGCCCCTTCCGCCATCCGCAAATTGAATAATCGCCTCATCAAATGAACTTTGTTTGAGGCCGATGGCTTCTCGTACATACTGGAGAGAGCCGCCATAAGACCCGCCGTGGTCTTTTCCTTTGCTATGTTAAAAGCAACATTGCGGGATAACGTCAGTCGGATAACTCCGAGGGCTTGTCTGTCGAGAAGAGCCCAATCTTCATCCTTCATGCCCTCTGGTTGCTTTCCTGAGAGAGGTTGATATAGATTTTTCTGGTACAAAAAATCTTCAATCTGCATCTTCCAAAAGCCAAAGTCCGCACCATCGAACTTTTCAATTTTCACCTTCCCTTCGTCTGCAGCCATCGCTCCCACTCGAATCTGGCTTCGTTTGGATCGTTTCTGACAATTCTTGCGAATCACCGTGTATTAGAACACCACCGTCGACAAACTCGTATCGCCGACCGAATTTCACTATTCACGAAATTCACTATTCACGTGAATAGTAATGAATAGTAACCTCGCAGAAAATTTGACAAAATTCACAACCAAAAGCTCTGATTACCAGTTGTTAGGAAAATAAACCGAGTACAAGTAATTTCCCTTTAACCAGATTAGTGAGAATGCGAAATAAAAGCGGAAAAATAATACCCGAAAATTGATAACGGAGTTCAGCCAATTGTGCTTACGTCTCCGGGCTGCTGCAGATCTTTTACTAAGAGAGAAAATTTACAGGTGTTTACAAAACACTCACTACTCACAAGAAAGCTCTCTAGTATAGGAAGAAAGAAATGTTTTGGGATGATTTTGAAGCTAAATGGGTAAGGGTATTTATAGTAGAAACTTAGGGACTAATCTTTGAAAATACCCTAAAGTGCAATGACTAAAGTGAATTTACCCATTCCTATTTTCAACAAACATCTACCAAAATTTTACCAAACTTTGAAAAACATTTTTCAAAGAAACATTTACCAAACTTTGAAAAAACATTTTCCAAAGTTGGTTGCCAAACTTTGAAACTTTTAACATTGTATTCATCTCTAGCTTGTTTTAACCCGGAATGGGACTTTTGAAATTTATACTATGTGAACATCCATTCCTGATTTTAAAGATTACTTAAACGTACTTTTAAATATTATCATAGCAATTATATTAATTAAGATATGATTTAATTAATAGTAAAAGAATTAGTTTCATATTAGCTTGTGTCAAATAAATCTACGTGGCTGAATATATAATATTAAGGCACAAAAAGAAGCGATATCCTATAAAGTAGCACCAGGCTGCCTTTCGTTTCACTAACTAGTAAACCATTAGTTAGGGTAGACAGGCATCTCTCTCGACGTTGTCTCTCCGAGTATGTCTGGTGTGTGGCTGTTCGACAAGAAAGGTGTGGCTCGCTTGATATCCAATCCTACCAGAGAATCCTTCGAGCATAAAGATCCAATTTGTCCCGGAACCTCAACCGCTCCCGGGGCTCGACCACGGGTTCTGGTCTACCTCCCAACCAACCAAGTCATCAAATCCTACGCCGAGCTCGAACAGCGCCTGGCTGAACTTGGTTGGACTCGATACTACAACTTCAGCCAACCTCACTTGCTCCAATTCCACAAATCAGAGAACTCGGCTGACCTCATTTCCCTCCCCAGAAATTTCGCCCATTTCAGGTCCTTCCATATGTATGACATTGTAGTAAAAAATCGGTCCTTCTTTGAAGTACGTGAAACCCCTTAGTGAAATGACATTGTGCCTCATTGCACGACATCAAACACAAGTATACATTCAATGTAGCTGACTGGAATCTATCCTTGTCTTTTTTCGGCTACAAGAACAACCTTTTAGAAAATTAATGTTTTCTTCTCATGTTTAAGTTGTTTTAAGGAGTGATGTTCGGTTCACGTTTTGTGTTATTTCTTTTATCTGATTCGTTCTGTTTTCTCATTGCCGATTGGTCTCTCTTTTTCTTATTACATACAGGTGTAGAACCAAGTCAAAGCTCTCAGTTTTCTCAGTGTGCATATATTGTTTTTGTTTGATATTGCATGCATGTGAATATGATGAGAATTGTGGTTATCTTATATTCAATCTCAACAATTTATTTATATGGTATGTATTCCAAATAATAAAATGATATATCTTAATGAATTTATTTATTAATATAAAAATGGAATCAATTAAATCCACGGAATGTACCCTAGAAGTAGGAGTATATCTTGAACAAAGTTGAGAGTTTTTGGTATCTCATCGATTAGTTGAATTATCAATCTCTCTTTAGTTTGGATTTCAATCCAAAGGAAATGAAGACCAAAAACTTATTGCGTGGATAGACAGATGGAGCTGAGGTTTCATAGCAGTGGCAGGAGAGTTGGAGATCATAATAATTACATGCCCCTATCCTGTAAGCTAGGTGACGATATTTCTTAATCACGTGAAATTCCAAAAGGCGGTCAACCAGGGTAGCAGAGGTGCTACGTAGTTGAGGTACAATACTTGATTTGACATAACAATGAGTTTTCATATAGTCCTTCTGTTGCAGGCGGCGTGTGCTTGCTAAATTTGTTGCAGTCAACCTTGACCTACGATTCATAGGTACGTGTTTCGAGAGCTGAAACTGCTCATGCATGCTGCAAGCAGCAGCCCATCCCCCAAATCTTCTTTTCCTATTCCATTTCTGTTTGATACTCTTTGTCCTTTTCCTTTTCTTTGAGATTTACTTCACTTTCCCCTCATCATTACAATTTAGTTTCACCTAGTTAGATTGGAATGAACATGATTCATTACATCTTAGCTACGGCCTACAGTAAATATTTACTCTTGCTTCTTTGGATTTCAACCACCAAACTTAACTCTTGTTACGCTAATATCCAATCTTCTCCTCAAGTATTGTTCCTAAAACACTATTCAACAAACTTACAGTTGCAGAATATCTCCCCCCCCCCCCCACACACACAAAAAATCATTTTAAGCAATAAATTTATGAAATTTTACAATCGAATAATAATTGAGAGATTTCAAGGCCTCCATCCTATAACCTCTATCATCACCTTGTCCTGGAGACAATGACCACAACTCATGATACAAGGTGATATTGGGGTAGGCAACTAATGGAGCTTCTTGGATAATCCAACTTCCGACCACCAAAAACCAGTTTTATATATATATATATAAATTTTTAGATTGGTTATAGTATTATTCATTCGCACACTAAAAGAAATAAACCGCAACCAATCGATTAATCCACTATTATCTTTAACTCGATAAATCTCTTTAAACCATCATGTCACTTTTACATTTCTAAGACTCAAAACTTTATTTAAAATCGATTTCAAGTTTTATTTTAATACTTCAAATCAATTTAATAATTTTTTTAACAATTTTTACTGGCTGTTGACTTAATATATAGACTGAGAGCTTACAACCACTTGCTTATAAAAGAAAAAATATAACAACTGAGAATTTTTAACCGCTTATTTTACAGATTATTAACTTAATTTAATAATTTTAAATGATATATTAACAACAATAATATATACTAATATGTTAAGATGTGATGAGATTACTACACCTTGATTTTTACTACATACTAATATATATATTAATAAAACATTGTTTTGGTTTGCATTAATTTTAAAATTCAATTTTGGACAACCTTCTTTCTATCTCTTGTAAAAATATGGATTTTTATAGTATATGTATTAAAAATATGGATTTTTATAGTATATGTATTAAAAATCATGTTATATATTATGCATAATTGATGATACGTGTATTAATAGTATCTTAATAGTTTAACTTCATTATATAATTTATATAAATAGCTAAAGTAAGTATTATTAAAAAAAACCTAAACAGTAAAACGGTGCGTACAGGCTTTAGACTTAAAATGGCTTAAAAACGAGTAAAAGCGATACCGCCGCTTGAGTTAATTAGTTGTTTGTTCTCTCTGATTCGGAACATAAATCGACGACGCTACTACGATTACAGCTCTGCCAAACGCGACGGGATCTCGGTGAGTTCGTTGATAGTTGATTTATGTTATTCCATTTTGATGCTTTTAAGCAATTACACTGGTTCGGTTTAGCTATACGAATATCGGACTCTGATTTTGAACATTTATTGTTATTTTATACAATTTTCTGTTTTGTTTCTTACAATAATTTGTCGGAAGCTGAATAAGCTTAATGGAAATATGTTTTCAACTGCGTCATATAACCATGGGGATTTGTGGTTACTATTAGGGTTCTTAATACATTGGGGGCGAAACAAAGTTTCAGCTAAAAAATGGATTTAGGTTTCAAGTACTAGATATATTAGAATTTTGGGGAACCCTGCAATTGTTTCTGTAAATAGTTAATTTTGGTTGACTAAACATGTTTTGCTGCTTAGTTCGCTTCTAAATATTCCAAATTAGTATGTTGCTTTAAAGGATTAAAATCTGATCTGTTTCAATTATTATTATAAAGCAAGAAATTAGAGACTATATATTCAAAGTGTCATAGGTAATATATTTACAATACATTAAACCATTTTTTGGGAAATGATGTTTTATTTCTAGCTATTGTGGATATGTATGGCACTTTATTTGAAGTAATTCATCAACTGATATATTGCTAGGTTGGGTGAATAAATAAGACGTTAAAATGTTGGGGAAAGGAAGAAAAATGTCTGGTAGAGAGACTGTTGCAGCAAACTACGCTTTTGGCCCGGGCGAAGATGATGTCATTATAAAACACAGGCTTCTGACCCGTACAACTACTACGAGAGGTGAACCACCATTGAAGAAACTTCAAAGGAAGTTTACCTCATTCGTCTTAGAGGTTGAAAAGGATGAAGATAACTACAATGATTGTGCAAAACTTTCCAAGGCTTTCTTACAAGAGTTGTCCACTTTTGAGATTCCTTTACTAAAGAGTAAAGCTGTTATTGAGGCAAATCTTAGAGAGAAGGAGAATTTTAATGAGTTAAAAGATGAGATAAATCGGCAAATATCACTGGCACAGACTGATATAGAAGATCTAAAGAAACAACTAGAGGAAAGTAAGATTGAGAGGCAACACAAGGAGGAGTGTGAGGCGATTAGGAAACTAATTGCCGCACAGCCACCAAGATCAGAGACACAGAAAAGCATAAGAGAGATAGAGAAAGAGATCGCCGCATTAGAGGCAGAGAATACTGCTGGTTCAAGATTACTGGAGCTTCGGAAAAAACAGTTTGCGTTGCTTCTGCATGTGGTATGTTTAATTCTGCAACTTAAATACAGTTTTCAGTGTTTCTGTTCTAAACATGATCGAATTGAAATGTCTTTTGCGATGCTTGAAATATATTTGTTTCCTGATATATCTTGAATGTGAGAATATGATCTCTTGAGATCCTCTCCATGAACACACTGTTTCTTCATGTAACATTGTCTCCATGTTTAATCTCTCTTGAATCTTATGTATTTCCTAAAGCTGTCCTTGCTGCTGGTCCCATTTCATGTTAATCTCATTGCCTGGGGTCATCTAGAGTCTGAGTTTGTTTGTTTTCGTATGCACATTGGCACTTAAGTTTGTGATTGAGCTACTTCAGTTCAAGATGTATGTCACTAATCTCATCTGGTGTCCCTTTATGCTTTGGTCTGTCACCCTCAATGCCTTGCCTTTCTGTGCTGTGTTGCACGGTATTGGATAACATGTATGAATGATGAATCTGTATGCTGCAGTACTCAAAATCACCTAAAAGACAGGTTGAATCTGTATGATATGTGTTACTAAACTTTGTTACTGTGCTACATCATCACTCGTGTAGGTGGATGAGTTGCAAAATACCATAGAGGAGGAACAGAAGAATTTGATTGAGGAGATGAGAATGGTGACTGAAGAGCAGAAGAATGGGATAGAAGATGCTAATGGGGGCTCTGAAGCCATAGCTGTTGATTAGCTTGGAGCTGCATCCAAGTTTCGCGGTTGTAAGGTTTTGTAGTTTCAAATCATGATCATTTCCATTCGAATAGTAGTTTTGAAGTTCAATGTTGTTGCACATCAGAATATTCTTAATAAGTTGTAACTTATTTAGCTAAAGATTCTATCGTTGATGGTCTATAATTGACATGGGATGTAGAAAGTTGGCTCGATGATCTCCACATTTATATGAATGTCAATGAAACGAAGAATGTTTTAATCCAAGAGATCATTTGAGTTCCCAGTATTTTTGGATTATTTGTTCGTGCATTTATCAATGATCTCCACGTTTATATGAATTTCAATAAAACGAAGAATGTTTGAATCCAATAGATCACCACTGTTATCTCTTAGTACATGGTAGATGGTTTTCAGTCAGCAGTGAAGTGAAATATGCTGCACGCATGGATGCAAATAGCATGTATTAGCCTTGCAGCCGAGAATTGTATTCTGTTATTAAATGTTCATCCTTGGATTACCTCCATTTCTCCCTCCAAGTATGTTTAATTCTTTTTCTAAATTTTTATTGTGTTTCGAGCTTACAGCTAGACCGTGAGAACTGGTCTAACTCAATCACTAAGTTTATGGTAAAAACATAGGAATCAGACCACAATAGGCTTTTGACAAGGGTAAGAAAACACAAATGGAGGGCTCACAACAACCTTATTTGTTATCGTCAAAATAAAAATAATAATACAGACGCAAAACTGGTATCTTCCATGAGAATGATCTATTTGTTGAGATGATATAAATATTAAAAAATTCTTTCGTAAACAACTGTAAATCCCCAGTAACACCCTGCATTTCATCTGAGGAGAACCCTATTCATCCAAAGGAAAATTCTACTTCATAAGCAAAAACATTTTGAGCCCCATTAATGGTTGTTCAAGTAGGCTTTTAATCTTGTGTTGCAGCCTGGGAGTTGAGCTCCGCAAACCTCATGCCTACACGCATTGAATGCTTTAAGACTTCTCGGCACATCGCATGACGCAGGTTTCTTCTTGCTTCTGCAGGGTCTTGCGAGTGAAGTTGTCAACACAGTCGGTGAAACATCTCTCCGCCAGTGAATTGTACATTCTCAAACTAAAGAATTAAAATAAAAATCAAATCAAAGGACACCAATTAAGAGCATTAGTTAACCAATAAAGGTTTCTTTGGTTGGCTAAGGGGAATTTGCGCTTTAAGCAACAGGAAAAAGAGTTTACATTTTACAAAGCCTTCCATCCAAATCATTGGTAAATACTAATCGCTACATGGATATAATGGTGATAGTATCCTTCTAAATCCAATCTCAACATACACCAAATCCGGCTTTATATTTCTTTGCTAGTGCTGTAGAAAAGGTATTTGCACTGCTATAAACGATGCCAATAAGTCTATAATACAACAATGTCATAGCCATCACTTGTTCACCCACTTCAGATGTGCACTGCTACAAACTACGGAATAACCGAACCCGCAGTGATTATAACACTTACAAAAAAGTTAGTTGAATCAACAATGCTTCATTTTTTGGGTTCAAATAACACTTCATGTTTATACAAGCAAAAGGCAAATATAAATTTAAGGATCTAAACAATGCGGACTAATCAAGGAGGTAAGTAGCTATAATCCAAATAAAAATGTGTCATCAACTTATCACACAAATTTCACATGAAAGTAAATACAATGAAAATGCAGGCTACAATTAACAAAAAAAAGGGGGTTACATTACAGAAATGTGGCTCCCAAAACGTCCAGAGGCAACATAATGTAAAAAACGCTGCATTGGTTTTAAGGAGAACATCTCTTTAGCTTCTCATCATACACAGATGAATTTGACCCAGATGTGAAATTTGGGACACTGCACTTATCCCCACTCTGAGAAGCTAATCCATAAACAAACCTAATAAACAGTTCGACGGGTTTCCTAAAACTACATATCTTGACATTCAGCTTCCTCAGTTGCGTTAAATTTAGGGGATTTAAAGGGGGGGGGATGGAAAGTTTTTAGAAAAATAAGAGTGAACGAATCACCTGTCACGAAGCTGGAGGTGGTCAATCATGGCGGACATTCGGTTCTTATCTTCTTCAGGGAGACCCTCGAGCCCTGCTAAAATGTTCTTGTCCATTCTGGATCTTGGCTTTTACGAATGGAATTTCTTTTTAGGGAGTTTCGCTTTGTTCTGGTGATTGAAAGGAGATACGTAGGGGTTATAAGGAGAGAAACCCTAGGACTTTGCTTTGATTCAAGACCTTAATGGGCCTCAATTTGACACTGAGGCCGTGTTATGGGCCGGCATATCAGACATAAGATCATACATCCACGGTTAAAAATGAGGACAGATCAAATATCTACAAATTTTATTTTCAATTTATATTAAAATATGATTCTTTTATTTATTTATTTTAGATAAGTTTGTATAATACCCGAGAAAAAAACCAGTCTAAAGTGCTACAGCACCAAATACAACTAGAATATAACTACTATTTACAAAATCTTTCAATTTACTCATTAATTCATATCAATAGAATCAGACCTATCAATATTTTCCCCCAATCTTACCTAAACAACCTCTTTTACAATATCCAGAGAGAAAACAGAACGTGCACCATCTTTACGATTCTTTTATTTATATATTATAAAAGTATTATTATTATTTGAATTTACATTTACATTAAATGTTATTTTTATTTATTTAAATCTATAAGATTTAAATTATATATCAAATATTTTTATATATTAAAAATTATATAATCTAAATCTAAATCTTCTTTAAAAAATCATTTGATAATCTAAAATTAGATTCAGATATCTGAATTTGTATGTGTAATGTATAAATTTAGATAACGAATATCATAATATTTATTTAATTGTAATAAATAATAATTTTAATATCTAAGTCTATATTTTCTAAAAATTATAAAAATAAATTGAAGACTTCATATGACTTTTAAATATGTTACCTCGAAAACAACCATCGGGTGCCCAAAATAGAAAACGAAAAAAACAAGAACAAGAAATGGCTAATTCTTTACATGAGTCTTTAGATAGATTTATTGTTAGACCGGTTAAACCTTGTAACACCCCAATTTAGGGGCTAAATTTAAGAAAATATAAATTGGTGGATTTAATTTGGTATTTTGAAAGAAATAAGGGATTAAATTGTAAGATTTCAAAGTTGACAGACCGTTTTAAGAAGTGCAGGAAGTTCAATGGCTAAACTCTTGGTTTAGCCATTTTTAATTATGAGATGTTATAAACCCCCCAGACTCCCGTATGTTTCTGGAAAATTTTCCAGTTTTCCTCTCCCGTTCTCCCTACTTCGAACTCCGATCTACTCGCCGTCCGACCTCTGATCGACGAGCCGAAACCACCATCGTGTTCGTTGCCAACCAAGGAACAAAACCCCTCAAACCTTTCGTCGTGAATCATCACCGTTCGTCGTGAATTTCAGTCGGAAGTATCGTCGGTAATAACTCGGTTTTAGTTGGTTTTTCATCGATTCACGACGATCGGGTCATCCGTTTACGACACCTCCCGAACCATCGTGTTCCTTGTGCCGTTCCGAGTCCACCGGTGTTCTTCTTTTTCTCCGGCGGCGGCGGCGCGTTGGGAGGTGAACCGGTCAAACTTCCCGATTTGTTGAAATCGAGCTCTCCGCCGTTCAAAATTGTGAACCGAGCTTTGTAAGTATCTCGAAATCGCTCAAAATAATTTTTAGAAATTTTTCCGGGATTTTATCACTGTTCACGCGCCCCCACGCGCCGCCACTGCGCGTGGGGAAGGAAAAAGTGACCGGTTTGACCGGTTTTGGAATTGTTTTGACCGGTTTGACCGGTCACAACCCGACCCGACCCGTTGACCCGACCCGACCCGTTTACCTGACCCTTGACCGTTGACCCGTTGACTGTTGACCGGAGTTGACCACTGTTGACCAAAACTTTGACCGGCTTTGATCGGGCATTAAACGACCTTTGACTTCGACGAGTATACCTATCCTGACATTTTTTTGACGTTCCAAATCCGATTCCGCTGTCCGTTTTCGAAATTCGAACCTGAAGGCCTCGTAATTGTCAGTCAAACCCGTTGACTTTGATTTTGACCGAAAATTCCAAATTTCCGAAAATTCATATTTTATGCTTTCGACGTCCTGAATCCGAATCCGAAGTCCGTTTCGCCAAATTCAAACCCGGTAAGCCGTCTTTCACTGATTTATCACCCGATTCGATCCGTTTATCGTAATTAAGCTCCGTTTCTGATATAATTTATGTTGATATGTATCTGAGGAATTATTGGAAGTTGAATTGAAGATCAAAGGCGTTCGAATGGAATTTTTATGGTCGATCAGTATTACACGGAAATCGAGGTAATACTTTACTACCTCTTTATGCTTTATGGAACATGTTGGTATTGATAAATGCATGAATGGAAATGTTTGGTCTCATATGTGTAATTAATGAAGATCTACACTAGGTACGAATACGGTAGAAAGTAGATAACTGAATATGGCTCAGATGACTATTATAAGAAATTGGAGGACGGTTTGAATTAAATTACAAGTTCCGGAATTAAGTAATAAAAGAATTAACCATGGATTGTAGATTATAATTTATCTCATGAAAGGTACTTAGATGATAAATTAAGAGAATATTTCGATTAGGGAAAATTACGAAATTACCCTTATGTTGGAAAATGATAAGAATTGTCTCTGGAAGTGGATTAATAAATCTGAAAAGAATTATTGATCTGCTAAAACTATTGATGTGCATAAGAAATGTTAGTTTTACTTGGAAATTATGGAGAACCGGTTTTAACCCCAAGAAGGTTTATGCAAGATACTAGAAGTGTGTTAAGGGAATTATTTCAAGATCAGAGATTGTTCAAGAAAGCAATTAATCATAGGATCTCTAAATTATATTATTTTCGTTAAGAGCTAATATCGAACTTATCTGGCTAAGAAATTACGGAAATGCCTTAAGAGGTAGAATAGTCTGAGATGACTCTGAATGAGAAAATACTTAGAGGATTCGTACTTAACTCGAATAAGTACGGATTTAATTTTTAAGATCCCGACTTAGTGCAGGAAAATTTATGATATTCCGTTTGTAAAGTCTGAGAAGACACTTGACCTGAAAATATTCGAATAATGAGTAAATACTGGAAGAG